TTTTTGAGACAGAGTCTCACTCTGTCCCCAGGCTGGAGTGCAGTGGCGTAATCTCGGCTCACTGCAATCTCCACCAAGCCCCCACCCCCACCACCGCGTTCAAGCAATTCTGCTGCCTCAGCCTGCCGAGTAGCTGGGATTACAGGTGTGCGCCACCACACTCAGCTAATTTTTGTATTTTTAGTATAGATAGGGTTTCGCCATGTTGGCTAGGCTGGTCTCGAACTCCTGACCTCAGGTGATCCATCTGCCTCGGCCTCCCAAAGTGCTGGGATTACAGGCGTGAGCCACTATGCCTGGCCAAATATCTTTATTTTTGAAAGGGCTAAAGAGTTAACACGGGAGAGAGCTAACACATTTACCCTACATCTTTTCCAATCTCATTACATATCTCCGTAACAAATAACATGAACTGTCTTCATGGTCACTGATTGATTCATTTAACAAAAATGAATTGAGCCCCTACTAGGCTGTGGCCACAGCTCTAAGGTAACATAAGGTAAATTGATTCTATATGATTTGTTTCTACCTACATAATTGAGGGGCTGGAAACATGGAAAATACAAATATTTCTGAAACAAAACTACTACTAATAAATACTACTAAATAAAGTTTACTAATAAAACTATCACAGAGGCCAAAATTTCTTGACATTATAAGTAATCTTCAACAATATTATTTAGCTATAAAGAAAGTAACTAATGTTGGCAAGAATGTGCAGAAGAAATTGGAACCCCTGTGCACTGTGGGTGGGAATATAAAATGGTGGAGCCGCCATGGAAAATAGTATGGCAGATCCTCAAAAAATTCAAAATAAAGTTACCATCTGATCTAGCAATTCTACTTCTGGGTATACAAAAAAAAATTGAAAGGAGGGTCTCAGAAAGATATTTGCAAACTCACGTTCATAGCAGCATTATTCACAACAGCCAAATGGTGGAAGCCACCCAAATGTGCATTGACATTAGAATGGATAAACAAAATGTGATGTATACATAAAATTAAATATTAATTAGCCTTAAAAAGGAAAGAAATTCTGACCCCTGCTACAATATGAATGGACCTTAAGGACATTACATAATACTAAGTAAAATCATCCAGTAATAAAAAGACAAATACTGCATGCCTCTACTTATATAAGGTACCTAGGGTAGTCAAATTCATAGACAGAATGGTAGTTTCCAGGGCCTGAGCTGGAGAGGGGGAGACGAGGAGTCATTTAATGGTACAGAGTTTCAGTTTTGCAAATGAAAAGAGCTCCGGAGACTGCAACAATGTGAATACGTAACTGCACACTTACAGTCAAGATGGTAAATTTTATGTGTGTTTTACAATTATAAAATATATTTATTATATCAGTGTTTAGCTCTGGGGTTTTTACACCACAGAGTGTGGCCTATGGTTCTGGAAGGCACAGAACAACTTTTCAAGGGTCCTGTGTGGGCTGAACCCAGGCTTCACAGCAGCCTAAGCACTTCCCTTACTGAAAGCCCATCCCGGAAGTTCTGGCTCTTGTAATCCATTGTCTAACCAAATAGCCTTGCAAACCCATTTCCTCAAAACCCAGAGCAAGGCGATTTTGTGTTCATTTTTTTTTTTTTAGTGGTGAAACTACAAAACAAAAAGTGATAGACAGTATAGAAAGATGGACAACTTTTTCCCTTAAATTCATTGAAATTAATTTTTTTTTTACCCTTTAGAATGTTATCTTGAAATTGAATTGTTTTCTCTTGAACCTGCAGAATATCAGGCACACAAATGTAAAAGTTTCTACAAATCTGCAAGGCCTTTTCCCCCAGACAAGCAAGTTCCTCTGTTGCCTATTTTTATACCCACTGTACACTAACCTGGGGCACCCCGGCTACAAGAGAGCCAGACGAAACCGCCCCACGGCTGCTCAAAAGAGGCCATTTTGCACATAAAGAAACAGTGTTGTTTCTGGAACTTCTGGAGGAAAGAGGACACGGTATGCCGATTTACTCAGCAAATGCCTCAGAAACCGTGGAGTTTTAACTTTATTGTCATTTTCCAGGTGCCCGCCACCACGCCCAGCTAATTTTTGTATTTTTAGGAGAGACAGGATTTCACCATGTTGGCCAGGCTAGTCTTGAACTCCTGACCTCAGGTGATCTGCCTGCCTCGGCATCCCAAAATACTGGGATTACAGGTGTGAGCCACCTCGCCTAGCCCACACAGTGATCCTTGCTATTCATGATGGCAGTTCTGTCTATAAAGCTGCCTTGAACACTCCCATAGAAAATAGTAATCCTTAGCTTCCAGGGGAACCACAGGGTTAGGTTCCTACAAGCCGCTGGTCACAAAATTTTCATCAACCTCTTATAACCAAAATTTTCACAACCTTATAACTTCGTTTTGTGTGTGTTTGTTTTAAAAAAATGCCTTATTTGATCTAAGTTGTTGGTTCATTCACACTAAACTCACAGTCAACAGCACTATAGCCCATGTTTGAAGAAAGCTTAGCTAACACATGTATTTTCCCCTACAAGGTACATCACAGCCTTCTTGCACTTAAAAACATTGGACAGGGCCAGGTGTGGTGGCTCACACCTATAATCCCAGCACTTTGGGAGGCCAAGGTGGGTGGATTATCTGAGGTCAGGAGTTTGAGACTAGCCTGGCCAACATGGTAAAACCCCGTCTCTACTAAAAATACAAAAATTGGCTGGGCAGGCCGGCACATGCCTGTAGCCCTAGCTACTTGGGAGGCTGAGGCAGGAGAATTGCTTGAACCGGGAGATGGAAGTTGCAGTGAGCCAAGATGGAGCCACTGCACTCCAGCTTGGGCGATAGAACGAGACCCCGTCTCAAAAAAAAAAAAAAAAAAAAAAACAAGACCACTGCACAGCTCTTTAGCCTTATATTTGGGGAGCCGTTTTAAGCAGTGAAATTACCAATAAAAAGCAAAAATGCAAAATACATGGCACTGAATTGTCTGCATCCAGGATACTTGTTTACAGTGTGAGAACTGAGGCAAGAGGGCAGAGTGTCACCTTGTTCAACCTCCGCCAGGTACGTGTACATTGAGTACTCAGATTCTTTTGCTGCCCTGTGCATATATCAACCAATGACCATAAGAGCCCTCAAGTATGGATTTGGGGCTTACAAATAAATTTTAGCAAGTAGGCAAACTTCACAAGTACAGAATTCTCAAAGATTGAGGATCAACTGTATTAACCAATTTGGGAATTTTCTTAGACCTAAACTTAGAGGAATAAATAGGAAGTCTATTCAAACCTATCGGGGGGAAACTTTTAAAAGGTTATTTGAAAATTCAGGGGTTCTGAGCTCCATACATGGACCACTAGTTACTATCTGCCTGGGGTGGTGAAAATGTCCTCTTCACTCCCTCAAATTCAGCAGTCAAAATGCTAGGCAAATGGTCGATTGCCACGGACCTAGCCATGTAGACAACCAGCATCTCCCACCACATCTGCGTGACTTTGATCCAATCACAAGCTGCTCTTCTACCCATGACGGGATTTCCCACAGTTTCCAGAAGGCACTTCCTGAAAATCAATTCCCTTTGTCTATTCATGCCTTTAACATGTCATCTGAATGTAGCTTCAAGTTAGAATTCACTGACATTCTTTCACATTCTAACAAAGATGTCTCTGTTCCAAGATCTCTATGTCATTTCCATATATATGCCAAGATAAAATTCAAGATTTAACAAAATGCCCAATTTTTCCAATTTGCTATTCATAGCAACACCAAGTGTCTTAAGTCACAAAAATGGAAGCATCTGACAGATATACTGCAACTACAAGATCCTTATAAAGTAACAGATGGTTTCTTTTTTTTTTTTTTAATCCCCCTAGAGAAGTAATGATGCTTTGATTTATAGTCATGATCAGAATGTACCAAACATGCTGTCTCCTTGAGGCAGGTAATATTTAGGGCCACAATACCAGCTTTTCTCCATGTTCATTAGGATCATAGTGTTTCTTCAGAGCTGCAGGAAACATTCAAAATTCACCAGCCTGACACTCTTGTCCATGAGAAGAGATAAGTACCCAAGATGTGTTCCCAGGGAAAAAAATCATTTTTGATCGTGTCAACTCCCATGATAACTGTCCAAACCTCAGCTCCTCCTCCTTTCCTCTGAAACTAAAATAGGAAGCACTGGTATGAAAAACTTCTGCTTTTTAAAGTCTCAAAACTGGTTACTTTTATTTAAAAGCCTTTTTGCCATGACAATTAGAAACACTTTTAAGCCTTCATTAAAGTTATGACCAATATGTTTCATTTTAAAGACATATCTGCCATTCTTAATTACTTCCTTTACCTTTAACATCCCTTTCTCACCGAAAATATTCAGAGAAAAAATGTGGGGCCGTGCTTTGGATTTCATGTGGCCGATTTCACTCTGTGCCAGTTGCCAGCAGCATTCCACATCTAGAACGACCATGTGCCTAAGGCTTTTCCTGTTCTTTTTGTTTCCTTGAGTTTATTCCTGTCAGGTGCAAGCACTCCAGAAATGTAGAATTATGACATAGGAACTCACACTGAGTCATAGCTGGAACTCATCTCTTCTGAGTTCACAATTAAAAACAAATGAAATCTAAAATTACATTGAAAACATAAAGGTAGGTAGAAGTTTAAAGAGCAGATGTGGCTTCAGCCCCTGCTGGATATACTCAGGGGGGAAACAGATGTCAGTAATAAACCTGGGAGAGCTACAAAGTTAGCTTATATCCATCACCAAGTGAAAATGCTGACATACGTATAAAACTGCCCTGCCTGCTTTCCTGCCCAGTCTGAGTGTGCAATATAGAAACAGCCTGGAAAAGAATCCAGAAACCCTGTGGAGATGCAGAGCAGGTCTGCCACATTTGTGGTGAGGACATCAGCTTATTGCATGATCAGAGTAGGCTCGTCATGCAGCACCATCCGGAAAGGTATGGTTTTGGCACCCAGACTATGCATCCTCTAAGTTCACCCAAAAAAAAAAAAAAAAAAAAAAAAAAAACACATAACCTGCGGTTACATTCATTCAAGTCTGCCACAGGAAAATAGGGTTCTTGATGGGGTCTGGGGAGATGACAGAACAAAACTATACATGACCAGGAATGGAATAAAATTAAACCTAAAGTGACCAGGGCAAAAAGCAAACCTAGGAATGATCATCATGCTATTAACAATTACATAAAGACTATAAACTCAGAAGAATCTAGGAGAACACCCAGGGCTTGGAAGTTAGAGAAGGTTATAGCTGCCGTACTCTTTAGATGAAGTCTATTTATGAGACTTTCTTTATATAGTCTGGATAGTTACATAAACTAGAGTCAATCAGGTTTTTCTAAACTGCGCTCTTGTTACTAGATCTTATGACAGTCTTCACATTTCAGAGCTAGATAAAAAAAACACATTTAGCCCTATGTTTTATATGGAAAGTACTAACTATACACTTGAAAATAAGGGTGAACTTTGTTTTTCATATTTTGCAGCCAGGATATTTTATTCACCAAAATTAAACGAAGCAGTCACTTATGAAGTCATATGGACTAATTCGGCCCTGTCGAATTGGAAAGCTTTGAATATTAAATTCTACTGTACAATCTCAGCTGGAAGTCATCTCTCCCTCCACCAGCCTCCCAGGGCACTTGGCACCTATCCTATAATGCAAACATTCTCTAGTTCAAGGAGGTGGCCTACTTTGGTGCATTCAACAGTGGCTAGAGGCCTAAGCCTCTTTGCTTCTACAGGGAGACAAAGAAAAATCATTTAATATTTTGCAAAGATCCATTCATTGAATTTTTCTTGGGATCAATAGCCCTTGGCAGAAAACAAGTATTCCACACCCATTCTATAAAGTTCTAGGAGGTTCTTACAAGCCTCATCAGCAAATAATATTTTTTACATAACTTGCTATTAGCTTGGAAATGTACTACAGTCTCTGTTTACATCTGTTTTCTTTAATTGTTAAATATGTACTGTCTATTTTTTTTTGCTGAGATTAAGGAGTAATCCAGGCAAAATATTAAGAACATAGGTAAGAACTCAAAAGACAATGAATGTCTTGATTCTTTTTCTAGAGTCAGGCTGCCTGGGCTTACACCCCTACAATGCCACTCCCTGGCTCACTGATTTTGGGCAAGTTACTTAACCTCTCTGTGTTTCAGTGAGAATAACAGCAGTCACTGTCTCTTGGGGCTGTTGTGAGATTTAAGTGGGTCAACCAGATATGTAAACCAGTTAAAATTGTTCCTGTCACATAGTAAACACTGTATGAGGGTTAGCCATCATTTAGTTACCATTAATTATTATTTACATGACAATATAAATAAATGGAGTGGGTAATCCCAAATCCTGTATCATTTGAAGATGTAATACTTGATCCATACTTACCGGCTGTATGTTCTTGGCAAGTCGCTTAACCTCCCAGGCACCTAGTGCCCACCTCCCAGGGTACCTGATATCCTATGAGGCAAACATGCTCTAGCTCAAGAAGATGGCCTGATTAGGTGCATTCAACAGTGGCTAGAGATCTGAGAGTCTATCAACTTAAAATTAGTTTTATACAGGAACTATATCTGATAAAAGGATACAGGAAAGAAGAAAAAAAGCCCACTTTTTCTTTTCTTCTATATCACTATTTGTGGTCCAACTTCACCAAGGCTACCACAACAGACAAACAACGGAATCAGATCAGAGTGAGTTTAGAGTTCAGGAGAGCAGAAGAAACTGACAGAGATTGGGAGTCTCCCTGGAATGGACGTAGCCGTAGCGCCAGCCTCACCGGGGCCTGGCCATCAGAAGGATGGATCCCACCTGGGCCAACCTATCGGCAAGCAGCTGGGACGAAGGGGCGTCTACAAACTCACAGACCTGCCACTCTCATCAACACACAGAACAAATTGACGCAAAATATACCCTCACTATCTGAGACTGCGGTTTATTCAGATCACGGTGATGTTTCACGAAAGTCACTTTAATTTCCTCTGCTTCTAAAATTCAGTGCTTTCTGTGGAGGCTCTTTGATTACCGTCTTTGTATTCTCCAGCATGACCCGATCGGCTACTAGGTATTGGGATTCCTAGAAACGTTTGAAGAATGGTATGTTCCAGTTAACCACTAACTAGACAAACCAAATTTGTCTAATCAAGTCAGGATTCAGATCTCAAAGGGACAAAAAAAAAAAAAGGAAAGAAAAAAAAAGAAAAAGAAAAAAACCTCTTAAGGAAAAACATTTTTATTTCAAGTCTTGTTGAAAAATGAAAATACACTGATGAACTTTTGTATTGAGTAATGGAAGTATGGAACACTGCTTATAATTATTTGATGACTCGAAGCCTAAATTTCCATCGGGTTCCCAAAGAGCAATAAATACAGGGCTAGTGATCCAAAGGAGGATATTACTCCCAGTTTAAAGAGAGGCAGGAAACGCTACACTGGGGCAGAGGCTGGGACCTGAGTCCTGAAGGGACAAGGGGATTTAAACAGGGGGAGACTGCAGGGGGAAGCGACACAGGAGGGCAGGTGGCAAGGGAGTTTTAAGTAGAGAAATCCCACAAACTTACAGAAGACATAAACCCAAAACCATGGTCCATGTTGATTTTAAATACCAAAGCTAGAATAAAGGGATCTATCAGTCTAAAGAGGTAAGAGGAGGCTAGATCACACAACAAACGAAGGAGTTTTGCCCATAAGGAGTCAGGAATCACCAAACATTCTTCAGTTGAAAGAACAGAGACTGGGAAGAGGATGACACGATGAATGAGTGCTTCAGAATGACAGAGCTGGAAGAAATGTAAATGAAGAGGGCAACACTAAGTACCGTTTAAAACATTCTTGCTAAGTGTTTAACATATTTACCAGTTTAATCTCATTTTACAGATAAGAAATTGAGACCAAGGAATTAAATAGGTTTTTCCAGATCACTGACTCCAGCATTCTCTACTAAAGGCCATAGAGAACCACTGGAGAAATCCTTGTTTTCTGTAAAGGACTTAGCACCATGTGTAGGATAGAGTAAGTGCTCATATAATTGTCAGTTCCCTTCCTTGCCCTTGCCTATTATGGGTTGAAAAGGAGAAATCTGGGAGCTAAAAGGACGGGAATGCCACCATGGCATATTTCACTGGGGCACTAGCACAGGCTTTACATTTCGGGGCCATAAGCAGTTAACTTGGGATGTTGTCTCCTGAAAATTGCTGCCCATAAGCTACGGTTGACTCTGACTCAGGAATATTCCTGTTTTGAACAAAAAGGATCCATCCAAAGTCAGGAGACCATTATTCCTTGTCAATGGAGGCCTCCAAGAGGTGACATGCATTCCTTCTAGTGGAAAGAGGGTAGGGGCTCTGCATTGCAACGCTACGTTCAAAATGAAGACGAGCTGCAGAATGTGTTGCTGGTTAAAAAGTTCTGCTTATTCTGACAGTTTTAAAACAATACTCTATTTTTTATTCCAATACCATAGATACTAGGGAAGCCTTGAAAACCAGAAACATTTTTCACCCAAGTCCGTGGCAAAGTTCAAGAATGACTCCATGGATAATACTTAGGTTGCATGATAAATGAGCTCCTCTCAAATCCAGTGAATTGAACTGAAAAACAAAAGTGTAATGACAGCAGGAAGAGAGCAGTAAAAGATGAAAAGCCAGGCTCCACGCCACTCTTCTTGTTCTTTTGTTCAAAACACCATGATTGGTTTCAAATATTCTTGTCTGTCAACAGGGTTAATATCTTATTTGCCTAAAGGCAAGGGGCTTGATCTGATGGTTTTGTGGGGCCCCTTCCTGGTCTAAGAGCTCTAATCTAATTTGGTTTTGCTAGACCGAGAGCTTTCCAAAATCATGACTTTTGTCTTAACTGCCTGAAAGAATCTGGGGGTTACCCTGAGGCTCTCATTGAATAAATAATACAGAAAGTCAACGCTGAAAATTGCCTTTCCTATTAATGAAGTGGTTAGTCAGAATAATATTTCCTTTTTCTTCAAATTTGATTAAAGTATCCATTTCATTATGCCTTTTCATAAGGGAGTCAGATTGAAGTCCTAATAATCTTACTGGAATCATTTTTATTCCAACAATATCATTAGATATTAATGAAGGTTTATCCTTACAATTGAAGAGAGGAACTAATTCATTAGGAAAATGAGTAACACACATATATGCTTATCGAAAGACCCTAAAAGAAATACTTTCATATGAAAGATGTGTTTTTACATCCTGAAATTACTTCTAGCATTTGGTATGGAGCCAAGGCAATTCAGTAACTTTGCCATTTATAGCAAAGTTTAGGCCAAGTTGCAGGGCACACAAAAAAGTACACTTGCTTGACATTTCAAGTCCATAGAGCCAATATGAATGTCCAGGCAGGAAGGGACTTTGTCTAACCACTATTCTGAGCTCTTTGAAAGTGAAGGAGAGTCCCTATATTTCCATCAGTGTATAGCTCATAGAGCACTTACAGGAAAAAAAAGAAAATCCATAAGCAATGAAAACTTAAGTTCAGAGAAGACACATCATGGCTCCTAAAAGAGAAATCCAAAAGGTAAAATAAAAGGTCACTGATATACAGATGTATCTTCTCACTTCACTTCATATATGAAGACTAGAAAGGAGTGAAAGTAACTAAACTTGGGAAGAGATAAAAGGTGAATCCATCCACTGTTTGAGAGAACATCTGCCTGCCAAGCGTAGACGATTCAGTTGTGGATCCAGAAAGTTCCTTTTCTCATCAAATTTAAGATGAAACTTTTATTTTTTATTTTATGTTATTTTTGAGATAGGGTCTTGCTCTGTCACCCAGGCTGGAGTGTAGTGCTGCAATCATGGCTCACTGCAGCCTCGAACTCCTGGGCTCAGGTGGTCCTCCTGCCTTGGCCTTCCAAAGTACTGAGATTACAGGTGTAAGCCACCATGCCTGGCCAAGAAGAGAGTTTTAAATGTTAATAAATTAGCCTGTGATGACACTGAATTATATTGGGTGTCAAATCACAGAAAAAGTAACACCTCCTGCTGTCAGCAGCTCACAGAACACTGGGCTATATGCAAATGTATACAAGGAAATTGCCACATTGCAATAAAATGCCCTTTTAGTGGCACACATTCATGGCCATGGAAGAGCAAAGAAGAAGAACAAGAGACAAGCTGAAGGGGGAGGACAGGAAACCCAGTCAACTTTTAGTTTATGTCTTTTAAAATAAGGAAGAGACTCTAATCAGAAGCTGACAAGTATCACCTTCCAATACTGTGACTTTCTCAATATCACAGAGGCCAGAGTTTTAATGAAAATCATTCTGCAAAGATGACACTGACTTTTTCTTAGTCTCCTCCACCTCATCTTCCCCAAAAAGATTAATTGAACTAATAAACTCCAAACTTCTGGCCTAACTTCCAGTTTATAGGAAATCATGAATGAGAGAAACTGAATGGCGTCAACAGGAAAAATCAGACACATCCTCGATGTGGGATGTCCTCCAAGGAAAGTGGCGTGGTCCCTTTAAAAAGTTAATTAAAAAATAATAATAATAACCCGGGGTGTGGTGGCTCACGCCTGTAATCCCAGCACTTTGGGAGGCCGAGGTCAGTGGATCACCTGAGGTCAGGAGTTGAAGCCCAGCCTGACCAATGTGGTGAAAACCCTGTCTCTACTAAAAATCCAAAAATTAGCCGGGCATGGTGGTGGGTGCCTGTAATCCCAGCTACTCAGGAGGGTGAGGCAGGAGAATCATTTAAACCCAGGAGGTGGAGGTTGCAGTGAGCCAAGATCGTGCCATTGCACCCCAGGCTGGGTGACAAGAGCAAAACTCCATCTCAAAAAAAAAAAATAAATAAGTGAGAGAACTGTTCTAGATGCTAGATTAAACATAAAAGAGATTTTAGGACCATAGCATGAACTGCAATGCATGAACCCTAACTGTTTCTGAATTTAGGACAAAAATAAATAGCCATAGAAGACATGTTGGAGACAACTGGATAAATTTAAATATAGACTGGATACAAGATAAAATGAGAAAATTATTGTTAATTTTTCATATTTCGAAATGTTATTGTCTTTATATAGGAGAATGACCTTATTATTAGCAGACAGATGTTCAAGAACTTACGCCAGGCACAGTGGCTCATGACTATAATTTGAACACATGAGAGGCTGAGTCAGGAGGATCACTTGAGTCTAGGAGTTTGAGACCAGCCTGGGCAACAGGGTAAAACTTGTCTCTACAAAAATAAAATAGGCCGGTTACCATGGCTCACACTTGTAATCCCAGCACTTTGGGAAGCCGAGGAAGGCGAATCACCCGAGGTTAGGAGTTCAAGACCAGCCTGACCAACATGGAGAAACCCCATCTCTACTAAAAACACAAAAAATTAGCCAGGCGTAGTGGCGCAGGCCTGTAATTCCATCTACTAGGGAGGCCGAGGCAGGAGAATCACTTGAACCTGGGTGGCAGAGCTTGCAGTAAGCTGAGATCGTGCCATTGCACTCCAGTCTGGGCAACAAGAGTGAAACACCATCTCATAAATAAATAAATACATGCATACATACATACATACATACATACATAAATGGCCGGGCATGGTGGCTCACACCTGTAATCCCAGCACTTTGGGAGGCTGAGGCGGGTAGATCACCTGAGGTCAGGAATTCGAAACCAGCCTGACCTATATGAAGAAACCCCGTCTCTACCAAAAATACAAAATTAGCTGGGCGTGGTGGCACATGCCTGTAGTCCCAGTTATTCAGGAGGCACAGGCAGGAAAATCGCTTGAACCCAGGAGGCGGAGACGAGATCGAGCCATTGCACTCTAGCCTGGGCAACAAGAGTGAAACTCCATCTCAATAAATAAATAATAAAATAAAATA